ATCCTTCAAATAGCCATAAACAAGCCACAGGGTTTCATAAGAAATAGCCAGCACTTTGAATTGGGCCCAGAAATGGAGTAGTAGCCAGTGAATTTGTTCCAACTGGGGAATTATACTCTGAGTGTAACTGGTAATGGACATGTCATGTGGTTGGACTGTTTCGCACCAAACCTAGTCTGTAGTGTGGGACAATGGTACCAACAACATCAGGAAGTTCACACATTCCTCATCCCTAGTGCATATAATGGTAGGTGAGAATATATGTTTTTCTTATAAATAATGAACATTGCAGTCAATATATACTGGCAATTTGCTGTATTGAATTTTGGCACCCTGTAGTTCAGCTCAGCAGCTGAACTATACATATGTGGAAGGATTTTGCTGTATAGTGAACTAGATCAAATCAACTAATCCCAAATTTTCTAAGGAAAGTTGTTTTCTTGAAAATGTGATTACTTTCCTCAAAATTCCCCACTCCTGAGTTAGGCTAAAAATATATTCTTCCACAAATACCAGGACTACCCAATGTGGTGAAGTGGATAGAGCAACAGAGTAGGACTCAGGACACCTAGGTTCAAATCCCCTCTCAGCCATGGAAGTTCACTGGGGTGTGTGGAAGTGATAAAAGGTAAAGGTAAAGGTTCCCCTTGACAATTTTTGTCCAGTCGTGTCCGACTCTAGGGGGCGGTGCTCATCCCCGTTTCCAAGCCATAGAGCCAGCGTTTTGTATGGCCAGTGCGACTTAGACACGGAACGCTGTTACCTTCCCACCGAGGTGGTCCCTATTAATCTACTTGCACTTGCATGCTTTCGAACCACTAGGTTGGTGGGAGCTGGGACAAGCGACGGGCGCTCACTCCGTTGCATGGATTCAATCTTATGACTGCTGGTCTTCTGACCCTGCAGCACAGAGGCTTCTGCGGTTTAGCCCACAGCGCCACCACGTCCCTCCCGGAAGTGATAAAACTATTCCTCAAATATTTCACTTACCTTGAAACTCCTGTTAGGGTCGCAATAAGTCAGTTCTGACTTGAAGACACATAACAATAACAAATACCTTTCTGGCATCAGAAGATGTGATCATCCCTGGGTTTTGTTTTCTGTCTCACAGATGGGATGCAAAGGAGGGTGAAGAAGTGCCTTTTGTGAAGGATGAAACTGAGAATCAGGTGAGTCTACTGAATATTTGTTCCCATATCAGTGAAGTGGTACTTTCAGGCTCATCCCACACGTGAAAACTACTAATTAATTTAGAAGAATGACCAGTCTTGGCCTGGTTCCAGCCTCTCATTCCTAATTTACTAAATTAGAGTGGAATCCTCCACTGATTCAAGGCAAGATTTGATGAGATCTCCAACTGCCTCATGATCCAGCTCCTGATGTTCAGGGAAATTTTTTCTTCTGCTTTCCTGTTTTTTAACGGAAAGACAGCTACCAGCAGCTACCCTTCTGATTTGACATGTTGGGTGGCAGAAAATAAGATCTTTAGTCCTTTCACCTCAAATGATTTTTCTGTTCAGTATCTCTCCCTGCTGTTTTCCCACGCATGATGCAAAAGACACAGATACCCTCTTCTCTCTTTTCTGGGTGAACAGATCCAAACAGAATGTGCCCTTTGAATAGCTGTGCAGAAAACGCAAATTTAGTGGGCGTAGCTCATCATGCTGCTGTAATTCTTTCTTCTGCCCAAATATTAAAGGTACAGTGGTGCCTCGCTTAACGAGTGCCTCGCTGAGCGATGAAATCGCTTAATGAGGGGCTCTGGGCCATCGCTGGAGCATTCGCTCAGCGATGGCCCCTATGGTGTTTTTTCGCTTTGCGATATTCGCTAAGCGATTCGCTTAGCGAATATCGCATAACGAAGCAGGGAGAACAGCTGATCGGCGATTCTAAAATGGCCACCGAAAGGTCCACGCCGCATTTTCGCGCCCTGCCCTCGCTTACCGAGGGTGCGAAAATGGCGGCGCTATGGAGGAACATCACTTAACGGTGAGTTTTAAAGCCATAGGAACACATTGAACAAAGTTCAATGCGTTCCTATGGCTTTTTAAATTCCATTTAGCGATGTTTCGCTATAGCGAAGGTTAATCCGGAATGGATTAACCTCGCTATGCGAGGCACCACTGTACAGGAATTCTCCTTTGCATCTGGCCGCCTTAATTTTTTCTCTTATGAGAAGGATTGCAGCTGCATCCTGTAATTTTCATTAGAAAATGATCCAAGGAGACATTTTCCCCCCTCCTCAGATCCCATTGCTCTGATCAGATTTGCTGCTCCCAATAACAACATATACAGTAATAAAGAGAGTGCCGGTGTAGTATAGTGGATAGAGTGATAGACTAGGACTGGGTTCAAATTCATGTTTCGCCATGGAATTTACCAGTGATTGATGGTAGCACTAGTAAAACCACTCCTTAAATATCTCACATACCTCAGAAACCCTGCTAGCATCACCTAAAGTTGGAACTGATTTGACAGCACGTAACACATAGCATAGTTATAAAGCTCCCAATAGATAACATTCCTTATGGATTTTTTTAAAAAAGAGATATTCCAGATCACATAGGTCACTTCATTTCATTTTGCAGCAAAATATATTAAAAAGCTTATCATTAAACCAATCTGATTACAGATGTGATTGATTCCTACATTATTTGCATAGCATGAGAATCACTGCCATGTGGTCCAGTCTTATGTCACACCAGTGCCATTAACCAACAGGGTTTTTGTGAATCCAGCAAATGACATGATTGTTTTCTACATCAGTGTGTTATGGTGGTTATAATGCTGGCATAGGACTAAGACGACCCAGGACATAAAGACTCACTAGGAGAGCTTTGACTAGTCTCTGTGTCTGAATCTAATCTACTTCACAAGGTCATTGTGGGCAAAAACTGATAGGTAAGAATAGCCTGAGCAACTTCGAGGGAGGGTGGGATAAAAATGGAACAGATGAATAAAAATAGAATCCAGGAAGTATCAATGTTAGTGTGGGAAGGAGCCATGCCTTTGTGTATCCTTTGTGCTTATGAGATACAGACAGAACCAAAGTATTCTGAGAGCTAGCTGTGGGGAAAAGGAAATGCTGTTTGCTTCAATGACATCGGAGTCAGTCTGAGTGGGTGATTAAATGAGATGTAGGCATAACTATTCTTACTCCATGCTAAGTCATCGTGAACATGATCTTTAAAAGAGATAGGTTGCTGAAGTTGTGTGCATGGCATTATGCAGCACATGATGTTGGAGGATAAGGTGCTCTTCGATGTGATCCTGTCATGAGGATGCTTTGTGAGATTCTGTTGCTGGACTTGGCCAGAATTTGCTGGAATGCTGGTGGAGCGTATAGCTGTGCCAACTGATATATTGATTCTCAGAGTTTGCAGGGGCTCTTGGAAACACCAGCAGCTGCTGCAACAGCTCCGAACTGTTTCCAGGGTTTGCAAACTTGGGCAGGAGCCTCTGCTACCTATCAGCCAATCTGTGGCAGCTTTGACTCATGGAAGGTGAGCTCTGGCTACCAGACCAGGGAAGCACCTCTTGAGAATATACAGGACAACTCCTTTACAAGCTTCAAGCACAGCTTATGCAGTGAGGTTATGTGAGCACAATGTTCCTACAAGATCTCAGTCCTTGAGTGTGCTCCCACCAGTAAAAAGGAGATGGTGGTCACTTCTAAAAGTTAGCTACTGATACCCATAGCCTGTGCATATTGTCTCTTTTTTCCTTAAGTGGGGGTGGATAACTTGTGGGTCTCTAGATATCGTTGGTCTGGGATGAGGGGAAATGGGAGTTGTAGCATAATGACATCTGGAGGACCACAACTTGCCAGCTCCTGCTTTTGAATTACAGTGGGGTCTTGACTTGAGATCTCAGTCCTTGAGTGTGCTCCCACCAGTAAAAAGGAGATGGTGGCCACTTCTAAAAGTTAACTACTGGTACCCATAGCCTGTGCGTATTATCTCTTTTTTCTTTAAATGGGGGTGGATAACTTGTGGGTCTCTAGATATCGTTGGTCTGTAAGCCCCCTAAATTCTTATCAGTATAGGCAAGGATGAGGGGAAATGGGAGTTGTAGCATAATGACATCTGGAGGACCACAACCTGCCAGCTCCTGCTTTTGAATTAGTAATTTGACAAATATGACATCAATTTTTGTCTTTTATTACGTTAGAGGTCTGCTCTCAATGAACAACTGAAAAACCAAGCTCTGGCCAGTGAAACAGTAAAGGAAGATCTTAGCCCAACAGGATTAGACCAGGATGTGAAGCCACAGGAACACAATGTTTCTATGCCACCAGTCATAAGTGACGCAAGTCTGTCTGCAGGTGAAGAGGACCAGGGGATAAATGAAAAAACAAGAAGGCATTCTATCCAGGATGTCTCTGCAATCAGTGTGGATGAGACTGAGTCAGACTGCAGGCTCAATAACAAGATAAGTCAGGATGCTCTGCTCCCCAAGGTTAATGGTGTGATTAGCAACTCTTGCCATGAAGGTAACCTGCCTGTACAGGATTCTGAAAATGTTGCCAAGGAAATCAGTTCCACAGTCTATGAAGATGATATACACCAAAATGCACATTCTGAAAGAAATCCTAGCGGTGAAGGCTATGGAGAAAAGGACCAACTCAAGGCAGAAGTAGGTGATGGAAGACAGGTACAAGAGGAAGAGACCCAGATTGCTGGCCTTGAAAAGCAAATGATCCATGAAAAAGAAGGTGATGCCCCTGTGTTTCTTGTACACAGGGAGGAGTCCAGGTCTCCTGGTAAAGAAATGCCAGACCAAACTAATGAAGCTGCAGAAGTTACAAAAATGATGAGCAAAGAACAAGACCAATGTCAACCATGCAACAACCAGGAAGTAGAAGACTAACAACAAGTAGAATGCACTGGGCTTCCAAGAGGCTGAAGGTAAGTCAGTTCTAGTTACTCAAGACAGCAGATATATATACTGTACTATTTGTAGATTTATAGCCTGCCACATCCTAGGTTTTCAAGGCTTGTGACCCATATGTAGTCAAAACATGTAGGTATAACCACCTAGGAAGTTCTTCTGCCCAGATGCTGTTGAAATGAATGAGCAGTACAAGAGCATGCTTCTGCTGCCTCCATTGACTACACCACAGCTTCAGCAAAAGAACATCCTGCTGGATGGAGGCCCTGTTTGTTTCTTCGTTAAGAGCTCTGCTCAGTCTTAAGGGACGCTCTGTTTTAGTGTTAGTATTCAGTCTAAGTAATTCCAGATCTCCTCATGGTTAGTTGCTGGTGATCTTTTTTTAAAGGCGGTTTAACTGGGGCAATTGTTTGTTTATTTAGGAGGCATCTCCAAGGGTCAACAGGTTATAGAGTTCTGCAGGGATGCAGCAGTTTCTATGAGACGAATCCCGAGTGTATGAAGAGAGCTCCCCTTTGCTGCTGAGGGTTGCTCCATTCCTTTCAATGGAGAGAGCTGATTTCGCATAGGCATCCCTCTGTGCATTTGTGCATCCTATCGAAATTAGCATGCTAGAGACTAATGATAATCTTAAAAATATATAATATTAAATAAGATTAATATTCAAAATATAATTAAACCAACTAGCATGTTCAAGAGAAATTACAACGCTTGAAACAAGTTAAAACACAATAGTGAAGCTATTGCAAGACAGGACTTCCTACCACACCCCCAACTAGCCAGAGTCAGGAATCTGGCTGCAATGTTTGGTGATGATGTTTCAGAAAATTGGTCAAGGACAGCCCTACATACAGCATGTCACAGCAGTACAAGTGGGATGTGCTTAAGGCATGTGTCATCATAATATTTAAAATAAAATTAAATCAACTATCATGTTTAAAGGGAATCAGGAAATTTGGGGAAAAAAGTGAAAATAGTAACTGGACTTTTCTTGTTTAGAGCCCAATCCCTAGGCAGCCAGTTAGTTCCTAAAAGCATATTTAATTAAAAAGGTCTTTGCCCGCCATTGGGAAGACATTACAAGGAGGGGGGGGCAACTTAATTTCTTTTGGAAAGCAGTCCTAAAGCCTAAGAGGTACTATCAAGAAAGCTCTCTGTCTCTCATGTCCCCATCAAACATACCTGAAAGGTTGATAGGGCTGAAACAAATGCCGCCCTGGAAGATCTTAGAATTCTGGATTTAGCCCTTCAGAGAGCCAGAAACCAGCACACATCTGTCCACCCATGGCCTCTGTCGTACTCACTCTCTCTTTTGCATCTGCACATGGCAAATTATGTCGGTTATGGTAAGTAGGGCAGAAAGTCTCAGGATTTGGCGACAGTAGAAATACGCAGAGCTATTGAAGACACAAGTTCTTCTTTGTTGCAAGACGGTTGTATTTACAAGTATTTACAGATATTTACAGGCAGCCATCTCAACAGCATGGCAGGAACTCTTTATACAATCGGGCATAATGCATGGCAGCAAGTGGTAGAGGAGGAAGAGAAAGACACAAAGACACTGTCCACTTATATACATGTACATGGCATTTTTAGTCCAGTCAGAATCCAGATGACTTCATCCTTTGCACCTGGTCTTCTTCTGGTTTCAAGACATTGCATCATCCCCAGAGTGATTCAGCATTCTCACATCTGTGCACAATGGCAGCTCGTTAATGAAACACTTATACATGTTCAGGCCTACAAAATTTCTATATTCTGACAGAAAGTAATGGGCATGTTTCCTTACAGTGGAAGCTCCTCTAAGAATGGACTTCCATTCCATTCAGGAACACTGATCAGCATTCCAGATATTGAAGAGTTACCTGGAAATTCCCTGCTATAAACCAAACATGCAGAGTACCTCACACAATTTGTCTTCTGGAAGCATTATTGTCTTCACATAACTTGTCCTCTGGAAACATTGCTGTCCTTATGGTTCTGGTCTTCTGCTTCAAAATAACTAGAAATAAATATTTACCAGAGTTCAAGCTTAGTATCTCTTGCAGTATTCTTAGCGGCAAGCCAGGGAAATCGACAAAGGAAACAAACCACAGGCCCTTTTCATTCGGTTCTCTCAAAACTCTTAACATCAGTGTCTGCTGCGAAAGTACAGCTGAAGTGCTGACGTCAAATGTTCTCCCTTGACGTAAACAAGAGCAGCACAGCCGAGGTCTTGTTCTGGTCTGAGAAATGCACCAGAGATCTGTTTTATAATGCAAGGCAATGTTCAGCAAGACTGAGGAACATTTACATTCTCTTTCCTAATACAGTACTGTAAATGCATAGAAAATGGCTTCCTCTCAAGCCTTGCCCTCTTGGTTTGAAAGGTTGTGGACAGGTTTTCTTATAGATAATCAGTCCATCTAGTCCAGTACAGTATTTATACACACACACATACACACATGTGCGTGCATGCGTGCTCTCTCTCTCTCTCACACACACACACACACATACACACACACACACACACACAAACCAGTAAGCAGGAAAGGAAGTGGTGATGTATTTATTGTAGTGGTGACAGATTCACAAATTCAAAAATCATTTCAAAACCAGATTTTTGTAGGAAAACCAAAGTAACAGCTGTTCCATTTCTTCTCATCGAAATTTTTGCCTCACCCCTAAAGTATATTGAAACAAAACAAAACAAAAAGCCAATTGCAAAATGAAATACTTTTGGGACAGGAAGTCTTTCCCATTCAAATCAGCTCTATATTGTTGTACAGCCTTCCTTAACCTGGTTTCCTTCGAATGTTTTGGACTATAACTCCAATCATCCTTAACTCTTGATTATGCTGGGTGGGTTAAAGGGAGTTGTAGTGCAGACCACCTGGCAAGCCTCACTTGGGAAGGCTGCTAGAAGGAATGCAAACATGGCAGACTGTGGCAGTGTCCTGAAGGGCTACATGCTCAGAGTCCCACTGAAGTTACGTGAGACGCACGGCCAGGTAAATCAACAGGACTGTAGACAGTAAGCGTAACTCTGAGCCAAGTTGACAGCAAAGTGAACAGCAGAATAGCAGATAGGAAAGGCAAGGGGATAAATATGCACAAATTAAACCAAGGACACCAGTAGCACAACTGCAGTTATACAGCCTTTGGGATGATTTCAACTGGGTGCGAGGACTTAGTATTATAGTCAAGGAGACACACTTTCCAGAAGCAACCACCAAGCAACGTTTTCATTGTTTAATTAGAAAATACTAATTTAGGACCCAAAGGGATTATTGTTCAATGTTGTTTTTGTCTGCATTTCCATGTGCCTTTGCCCTTTAGGTTTTCCTCCACGATCACTGTGATCTTTCAGTATTAAAACTCTGTCAGTAATAGGAAAGTCTATGCATTTTGACCATGGATGTTCTAAAATGCTATTTCATTCAGCCATTCTGATAAAGACTGTAGCATCCAGAGAATTCATATTTTCTCCACCATTGACATTTTCCAATTCCAAATTAATAAACATATGGCCTCCTGCAGGGGTGTCCCCATGTGGCCCACCTGGGACATTTTTACAATAGCTTTTTCCAGAGAGCCCTATTTCAAAAATAATAAATGAGGGAGAGCCTTATTTGTTTCTAGAGGGCCTAGAGATGTCGTAAATATTTCTCCAACCCACCCAAGAGATCTAACTGGACATGCATCCGTATTTTCAATTTTCTTCAATTTTGTTAAGTACAGTACTTGGTTAATAATTCACAGTTTTATAGTCTGTAACTTAGTGTTGCACAGTCAATTGTCTTGAAGTGCATTTGCAGAAAGTGATGGTGGTGGAGAGAAATATTTCAGATAGATCAAGTAAATAACTAGAGGTATATTAATTTTAATTTTCAGAGACATAGCCATGCTAATCTATGCAAGCATATCTAGGCAGAAACAAACCAATTTTTTTTAAAAAAAAAATCCAAAACCTAGTGACACCTTAAATTCTAACTGTTGTATCCCAGTGTAAGCTTAGTCACACATATCAGAGTGAAGAGAGCCCATGTGTATACACCAGGTAGGCACGGGAAGGTAGCAACAGTATTACTGACGCAAGTAATGAACTGCAAGAATGATTACATACGTATCTTATAATGAACATAATGCCGCCTTTGTGCCTTATAAACTAGTGTGAATCTGTCCACCGAAACCAGGATACTTCCCTGTATATATACCTGGTCAACTCACAGTTTTACTCATGAACAGCCAAACTAGAAAAACAAAAAAATAACAAATGTACTAAAGGGTGGGCTTCTGCTAAAGTACAGGAGCTTTAACACTTTGCTGCCTGTTAGAACTCTGACCTAGATCAGGAATCCTGTGCCTGTTTTCAGTGAAGTAAAATTTCCCATTTGCACCAAGGGAAATCTCCCCCCCCCCCATAGAAACAAAAGGTGCAAGATCACAGTGTGGAGCAAAAGGTTAAAGCGCCACTAATCCTCACCAGCATTTTTACCTTGACAACTTCCCTTCTGCCTGCAGTTTACCATCTAGAAGCCATGCAGCGCAGCTATTAAGAGTGTGAATTACTTTCCACCCGTACCTTTGGAGAAGTAAAAACCCAAGGAAGATGTCCTGGGGAGACCCAGAGATTGGCCTTAATCTGTTTGGTTTGTGTTCCATTTTGATTTGAGAAAACTGCGTTTTGAGTCACAGCAGGCTAGTTACAAAACGAGACAGATCAATGCCAAAGACAAAGCAGATCACTCAGGGAAGGTAGCAAGGTAACTACAAGGTCATCTTCTGATGACTTGTCAAGATGCTTCTTCTCTTTTGTTCTGCTGAGTTCCTAGGGAACAGACAGCAATAAAAGACCCAGGGCCCTCTCCGAGTCTCTGTGCAACATAGTTTAGGAAGAGAAGCATAAGAAACAGATATTGAAATGTAAACCCTAGGAGGAAGGCTGCAAGGAACCATGAAATGGCATTAAAAGACTTTTCAGCAGCATTTATTACTTGCTGTTTTAGTTTTCTGCAGATTGTAAACTATCTTCTAG